CTGACTACAGGAAGCCTGAGGCAGAGTTGCTCTGCCCCGGGCTTCCTGGAATCAGCTGCTGATCAGTTTCAGCAGCAGCTGACTTGGGGACGCTTGGGGTTTTTAAGTTGATTCTGTATGTAAGCAGCGGCTGAATCTGGACGCCAGTTCCGACTTACATACGGATTCAACTTAAGAACAAACCTACAGTCCCTATCTTGTACGTAACCCGGGGACTGCCTGTATACCACTGCTTAGCTATCTAATTGTGACATGTAGATAACTCTTCAAGTACAGGGATGAACTTAAAAACCTCCCTTTGATAAGGAGATAGACACAGTGTGTGGAGGTAAGCACATTTTTTTAAAGTCAGTGATTTCCAGAAATCTCTTCAAAGCAGCAGGAACAACTTTTCTTGTAACCTCATAAAAACTTCAGCATTGCTTACATAACTATTTGGATTTCTGTCAAAATAGGAAAAAGATAGTGTTTTAAATTATGACTGTTTAAATTCACTGTTTAAAGGAACACAGCCAATTAGTAGCATGCCCAAAATTTAATATTCAACTTTATTATAACTTGGTGTGACACCAACTCCACTCTAAAAAACTAGTTTATTTAAGCCATGCTATCACACAGTTTGAAACACAAACCAGCAATTAATACCTGCCCCCTCCTCCCACCAAAAAGTGTTCTGCTTTTTCTGCAGGACTATTGAACAAGTAAACACTAGTATGCAACTTGAGTAATGTACATGTGTAACAAGGAAGTAAACAAAGAACTATATTAATTTCAGTTCCTTCAGCAGCACAGGATAAAATCCAGAATATGACTCGGAGCTAGCAAAAAAGTTGTCAGGGCCTTCTAAACTCACTTTTAAAAATATGCCTCATTTCTCCCGCGCAAATACAGTATTCAGCTAAAATGTGCTGGGCGAAAAGTCATGTGTTGGACTCCATTCTGGAATGACTGGCCATTAGTTTAAGAAAATTCTCTTAACTCTGAAAATCTGAGTGATGTTACAAATTGTATTCCAGCTTTTATCTGTTGAAAGATTTAACTAAATCTTTAACTTAGGTGCTGTAGTCAGGGCATAATTCTTACTGACTTCTAAATATTTTACAGTTTCTAAAATTTGCTTCTATTAAGTGATAATCAGTAGGCGCCAAACACTGACTAGAGTGGGTGTTAGGGATGTTAAAATGAGGTTAATTTACTAACTGAGTAGTTGATTGGGGAAGGGAGCCTGGCTTGCTGTGGGTCTGGGACCAAACCCTGCTGTAGTTCTGCAATTTAAAAGGCAGTAGGAGCTGGACTGCCTGTTTGAAAACCTAGTTGGGGCTTTTTAACTTTTTCAGCATTTAGGAGCAGTGCTTTGTTTGTCCCAAACATGAGGACATTAAATGCAAAAACATTCTGTTAAGGATGTAATTTAGTGTCACATGTTCAGGAAACGTACAGCAGTATCAGTTTGGCAGGTTTGAAAGTATATATAGCATTTTTTCTGTTTTTCATGATGATAGAGTTGCTTCATATATTATTGCTGTGACGTGCATGCTTTGTAATACTCACCTTAACACAATTTGTTATGCCCATAATGGGTTAGTTGCTTAATATTGTGGTATCAACTGTGCAGACTACTTATTGTTTTATTCAGCATATCCTTTTTGAATTAAATGAAATTAAAGATCATTTAAGGCTCTCCTAGAACAGGACAATGATTTGGATTGGCTTGTTTTACTTCTTATCCCAACAGTGATTTCCTGAATACTTTTAACTTATATGGCTTTTGTCATTTTCTTTTCCTCTTGGGCCCTGATCTTGTAAGATGTTCCATGTGGGTACAGGTGTCTGCCAATATGTGCCTGCAGGATCAGTGCTATAGTCCTGTGTATATCATCTTGCGTCATGAATTACTCACTTTTAAGAAGGCAGAAGGAGAATATCTGGGGCCTAGGTTGGAGGCATGTAGTTAACTTGAAAAATAGGACTATGAAATAATCAATAAAGGATTAAAAATAGCATTTAAAACCCAAATTTGCACTAAACAAACTTCCATTTTGTGTAGTATTTTCCCTCTTCTTTTGCTGATTTGGTATCTGTTCAGGGCCTGAGTCTGCACACTTCAATCTCACTGCAGTCAGTGGTAGTGGTTGGATGCTGAGCACTCTGGATCGGGCTCTCAGATTGTAAAGTTTTTAAAGTGCGGAACAATCTCATGTAGCATCTGTCTCAGTTTGGGCTCCGTATGTATATCTGCAAGTGGTGCGGGAGTTGTGCTGTAGGCAGTAAAGTGGAGGGTAGTGCTGAGCATCAGGTGAGGAAAATCAGTGGTATCAGAAGGTCATACAAGCTAATTGTGTTAATATAGTTTACTGTGAAATGGCCGGGGTTTAGGAGGTTGTAGCTAAAGGTGGGAAGATTTTTATTTATATTTTTTAAAATAGTTGCTTCTTAATCCATTTTTGTGCATCTTGGTGTCAACTGTTCAGATGTAATCTCTTGTCAAGCATTTTTGGGCTGGGATCTCAATTTCTCTGGCACTAAAGAAATACCTGAACATTCAGTAAATAACATTTCAGCCTGTATTACTACAATGGCTATTAGGGATGTTAAATTTCGATTAATGATGGACTTTCTGTCATTTAAATATAGTAAGAGCCATCTGTGAATCTTGCTACATTTAAAAGGCAGAGGCACAGTGGGGAACTTGGGGCGAGTGGGGACTGCTTTGAGTCCCCACTCCACCTGGGTTCCCACTGCACCTCTGCCTACCCTGCCACTCTCCTACCCCTTCCACCTTGCAGAGAGAGGACTAGGGGAAACTGACTTTTAAACCAGCTCCCCACAGCACCGGCCCCTTTTTTCTCTGCTGTGTGCCACCCCAGATGTTCCTGCACAACCCCCTGGGACAGGGTTACTGAACATGTGGCCTGTCTGTTTGCAGCCTGTGGTCCCGTTTGGGTTTACACGGGGCTCAACACACAGTCTGCAAGTGGGATCCTTTGAACATGGCCTCCACCACAACGGCGAATCAATAGAATGGTCTTCTGTTGATACGCTTTAGTAGTTAAATTCCTGGACTGTCATTGCTCATTAAAAGTGCTGTCCTATGAGTGGAAATCGGGTAAATATTGCATTTTATTAATATCAGCAGAACTGACTTAAATGGAGCTTGTGTGTTGTGTAGTCTTCCTTAATGTTTGTATTCATGCCCGTCAGTGTGAAAAGCTATTTGCATATATATTTGCATATGTATATACAACCACACTTTAATTCACGGCCCTCTGCATGTGCTGTGCATATCATAGTGGCCCACTGGGCTTCCACAGTTGAGTAGCTCTGCCCTAGGAGGGCTTGCCCCAAGTTTGGGGACTGCCGTACTATAGGTTGATTTCCTAAAAACCTGAAGGATCTAGAACTGTGGCATTCAACACGTGGTGGCTGTTTGGCTGGTTGAGTGTGACTAGTTCGCTATAGTGAACTGGTTGGACACCACGGGGTCTAGAAGTATTTGCAAAACCAGTATCTTTTTGTCTTTTAAAATTTAATTGATTTCATTTGCTTGTATCAGGATCTGCCTGGCCAGTATATTTAACCCTTAAATAGGAAAAGGGTGAAAGTTCAAGACACGTTTTGTGTCTTTTTACTTTTCCTGCTGTCTGT